CTGATTGACCTTGGGCAGCTAGTGTCTTAATGTTCAGGTGATTGTGAACTTTAAGAAATTGGTTCACATAAAGTCTTCGCCCAGTGAATCTGGCTGAGAGAATAGTCATTAAATTTATGGTCTGAAACTACCTGGAGGAATTATTTGAAAATTTAGTGTTAGTATTTTATATCTTTTTGGTAGTGGTGGTGGTAGGAGGGCACAGAATCTCAGGTTAGTCTTGCTTTGTGGCCCAAGCTGGTCTTCTCAGGTGCTAAGATGGATTGAATGAGCCACTCTGGACAGCTCTAATCTTCTTCCTCCTTTTCTTCCTTTTTTTTTTTTTTTTTTTTAACCCTTCGGAGCTGAGGACCAAACCCAAGGCCTTGCACTTCATAGACAAGCATTCTACTACTGAGCTAAATCCCCAGCCCCCAAGCCCTAATATTCTAACCATGATGCTTTTTAAATTTCTGTATGTGTGAATCTATCTTCGCACATGTCACCAACCATTCTTCACCCCACATTTACCATCTGCCTCTCAGATAGATGCTAAATATAGAAGGCAGTATTTATTTGGAACTGTTCAAAGGAAAAATGTTTGACATGAGTGAAACACCTCTGATTAATGTCCTAAAGCATAAGCTTTTAATTGTTTTGTCTTTAACAAAAAATTGCTTCAGGCTGGGGATGTGCAGTGGTGGCGTGGGGCCTAGCATGTTGGAGCCCCAGATTCTGTCCTCAGCTCTGTCAGAACAAAACAACCTGAAAGTACACTAATGTCATAGTCCTCTTCCTTTTTAAACACAGATCATAAACAATGACAATTTTGAGGATCAGCTTTGTTCTGTGTATCTGTAAATAAATAGTTCTCTTTTCTTTCTTCAGATAACTGGCCTTTGTTTTTAATTCTTACGTACTGTTCTTTTTTTGTTTTGTTTTTTCAAGACAGGGTTTCTCTGTGTAGCTTTGCGCCTTTCTTGGATCTCGCTCTGTAGACCAGGCTGGCCTCAAACTCACAAAGATCCGCCTGGCTCTGCCTCCCGAGTGCTGGGATTAAAGGCGTGCACCACCACCACCGCCCGGCACTGTTTTTAATTCTTAAACCTTTTTATATACTTAACTACTTTAAAGTTTTTATGGCTAATCTATTCTGGATTTGGAAAGCAGATATTGAAAGTTGCTAAGAATTATTTGTGACAATGATGAGGCTTGGAATCTGGGTGAAAACCACCTTAGGCACAGGGTGGGAGGGTGCTGTGGTGTCTGACTTTGTTAACTGTCCAGACTGGGTGTTGGATGCATTAAGCAGTTAGTTCCAGATTCTTTCTGTGTTTGCAAAATGTTTGCAAATTTTTGTCATCTCTTTTCTTCATCTCTGTATCTATGTGTTTGTGTGTGGAGGCCAGAGATGAATGTCAAGTGTCTTCCTCCTTTGCTCTCCCCTTATTTTTTAAAGTCAAGGTCTCTCACTGAACCTGGACCTCACTGATTAGCCCCAGAGATCCTCCCATCTCCACTTCTCCAAAGCACCTCTGTGCCTGACTTGTTTTAACTAATTATTTTTTTATTCATAAATTATTTCTGTTGCTTTGTTTTAAATTTTATTTACTTTGTTGTTGTTGTTTTGTTTTTAACATGGGTGCTGGGAATCAAGCTGTTCTTCATTCATGCTTGTGTGGCAAGCACTTTCCCTTGAGATGCCTCCCCAGGCCCAGTCTTTGTTTTATTGAGACAGGACCTCTGTGCAGCTCTTAGCTGACCTGGCACTCACTGGGTAAACCAGGCTGGCCTTGAGTTTGCGATGACCCTCTGTCTCTGCTTCCTGAGTGCTAGGATTAGAGGCCCGTACCACCATGCTGGCTTAGTGTTTTGTTGTTGTTGTTATTTGTTTATTTGTTACAGTGTGTCTATAGGTGCATGATGGAGGGAGGGTGGTAGTCTCAGGTGTCTGTTACAGTGCTTTTGTGAAGGTCAGAGGACATTATGGTGTTGGTTCTTTTTTTTTTTTTTTTGGTTTTTCGAGACAGGGTTTCTCTGTGTAGCTTTGCGCCTTTCCTGGAACTCACTTGGTAGCCCAGGCTGGCCTCGAACTCACAGAGATCCGCCTGGCTCTGCCTCCCGAGTGCTGGGATTAAAGGCGTGCGCCACCACCGCCCGGTTCTTTTTTACTTTTACCTGGGTTTGGAGCATTGAACTCAGCTCACCAAGCTGGCATAGCAATTGTCTTTACCAGTTGAACCATCTTGCTGGGCAGGGTATAGCCTAGGCTAGTTTCTAACTCATTATCCTCCTGCCTCAGCCTCCAGTATATCCTTGCTGACCTTGCCACAACCTGCCTGTTGTCTTTTTTTTTGGTGTGGGTTTTTTTTTGTTGTTGTTGTTGTTTTAAGTTTGCAATTAAAAAAGAAAGTGTGTCAGATATATACAGGGTTATGCATAGTTCATTTCTTAATTTTTAATTTTTTTAATGTGCGTTAGTGTTTTGCTATGGAACTGGAGTTACAGACAGTTGTGAGCTGCCATGTGGGTGCTGGGAATTGAACCCGGGTCCTCTGAAAGAGCATTCAGTGCTCTTAACCTCTGAGCTGTCCATTCAACCTCCATAGTTCATTTCTTTCTTCTCTTTTCTTTTCTTTCTTTCTTTTTTTGGTTTTTCGAGACAGGGTTTCTCTGTGTAGTTTTGGTGCCTGTCCTGGATCTCACTCTGTAGACCAGGCTGGCCTCGAACTCACAGAGATCCAACTGCCTCTGCCTCTGCCTCCCAAGTGCTGGAATTAAAAGTGTGAGCCACTACCACCTGGCCATCGTTCATTTCTTTTGTTAAAAAAAAAAAAAAAATGAACAGGAAACTTCATAGTATTTACCTCTGGGCAGAAATGCTGAGAGCTATTAGATCTGTTTTTTGTTTGGGTGCTCTTATTCTTTGCTTTTGCAAGCTATTGAAGACCTGTTTCCGTCCTTTGTTAAAAGTGTGTAGAAGGTCTACCATCTTCTAAATTTTGTCATTAGGTGTATTGCTGTGCTTTATTTTTTTTAACCATTGTCTTTTTCTGCCTGGAGTATATATTTTTATATCTAATGTAAGAAAAAATTTTGTTACTTTAACTGAGAAAGCAATTGGCAGTATTTTCAAAAGTAGATTTTCTTTGTACTTTACACTTATTTTAAAGACAGGTGGGTTGGGGATTTAGCTCAGTGGTGGAGCACTTGCCTAGCAAGCACAAGGCCCTGGGTTCGGTCCTCAGCTCTGGAAAAAGGAAGAAAAAAAAAAAAGACAGGTATTTGTTTTTTAATCAGCAAGAAAATTAGCTATAGCAGTAACTTTATTAACACTGCAGTTTAGGGTATGTGGCTGAGCAGAGCTTCTGACTTTACTGTGCACCCTCGGGGCATCAGTCATAGGTAGACACTTGGGTCTTGCTTAAAATAATTAAATGATAGTGGATATTTCAGTGTGAGTCTTTCATGTCAACATTTTTACTAATTAACTTCTGATTTGTATCTTAATCTGCAATTTATGAAAATAGTTGTCTCTATAATTTAAGGTTTGAAATGGCTGATAAATTCAGTCTTTGGTTTTGATTCGTGTGTGTGTGTGTGTGTGTGTGTGTGTGTGTGTGTGTGTGTGTGTGTGTGCTGGTATTGTGTTCCCCAAAATATTGTGCACCCTAATAAACTTATCTGGGGTCAGAGACAGAACAGCCACTAGATACAAAGGCTAGAAAATGGTGGCACTCACACCTTTAATCCTAGCATTCCAGAGGTAGAAATCCCTCTGGATCTCTGTGAGTTCAAGGCCACATTGGAAACAGCCAGGCATGGTGACTCACGCCTTTAATCCCAAGAAGTGACCCTTTAATCCCAGGGAGTGATGGCAAAAACAGAAAGAGATATAAGGCGTGAAGACCAGAAACTAGAAGCTTTTGGCTGGTTAAGCTTTTAGGCTTTGAGCAGCAGTTCAGCTGAGATTCATTTGGATAAGGACTCAGAGGCATCCAGTCTGAGGAAGCAGGATCAGCTGAGAAACTGATAAGGTGAGGTGGCTGTGGCTTGTTCACCTCTCTGATCTTCCAGCATTCACCCCAATACCTGGCCTCAGCTTTGTTTTTATTAATAAGAACTTTTAAGATTCATGCTTCGTGTGTGTGTGTGTGTGTGTGTGTGTGTGTGTGTGTGTGTGTGTGTGTGTGTGCGTGCGCGCGCGTGCGTGCGTGCGTGCGTGCGTGCGCGCGCGCGTTCGGAATTGAAGACAGTGGAAGTGTCTCAGTAGTCACTCTGTCACTCATCTGTGCAGTGTTGGTCATCTGAGTCAGCAGAGCATGTATCCCCTTTTTAAGTTGGGAGTAGTAGCTACTACCAGTGCTCGTTTGTGGAGTGCTTCATCACTCCTACTTCGAAACTAAAATCATTCATGAGTAGCTCTCTGAAGTCGCTGTGTTAGCCCCTTTTTATAGTTATGACAGTTGAGACTCAGAGAAATTGAGTCCACCTAGCTGCAAGATAAGCATTGCACTTAGCAGTAGACCCAAAAACTCACCTGCAGCTAAGCTGTGCTGGGGCTTGCTTTGTTATAAGAGTCTTCCTAAGTGCCTGGTATTGTGCAAAAGATGGCTGAGAGCTGGGGGGAGTGGAGCTCAGTGGCAGAGCGCTGGCCTGGCATGGATGAGGGCCAAGGGTTACTCTCCAGTTAAGGGTTGGTTGAGTGCCATTACAGTGTGTGCATCTCATTGCAAGTCTAGATCCACTTCTGTGGGTGGTTCCTGATAACAAGTTAAATTGGGTGATTTTTTTTAATTGCTTCCCTCCCCAGAGGAATCATTTGGAAAGCTATAAATGTAATTTTTCTGTGTTTTTTAAGTTTTGCTCCAATTCAATATTTCATTTCAAAATTATAAAATAATTTTGGGAAAAAAGATTATCTAATATTAACTCTTAATACCCCAAAGTTGCATAATTAAACTTTTTATTCAATACTGAGTTACATAACTGTTTCTCAATTTTCTGTCTTTGTTCTACAGAATGGTAAATAAGGCTGGCCATTTCTGGAAAGGCCATTGATCCGCCTCATGTAAAGTATGCTCAGTTCCTTTCCAGTGGTGTAAGTATCCTTCTCAGCTCTTCCTGTCAGTCCCTCTAGTAATGTTAGGTGATTAGAACTGTGATAACAAGTGTTTTTAGAATTCAAAGAATTCGTTTCAGTGACATTTATCTCTTTATGTGAGGGGTGCATGTTTAGTTGCTTCGGCTTGTGTGTGTGGAGGTCAGGACAGGTTGGTGGAAGGTGGTACTCTCCTCCTTCCATGCGGGATCAAACGCAGGTTTAACGACAAGCACTTTTACCCTCTGAATCATTTTGCCAGCCCAAGGTCAAAGAAATTTTTAGGAAACTATTCAAATGGTACATGTTCTTGACATCAAGGTAAAAGGAGTTTAGTAATCATATGGGGAGGAATGAGGTTTTAGACCTGTGAGGTTTTTGTTTTCTTCTTTTTTACCGTTTTTACTTTCAACATTATATTTTAACAATTTTCCATTTAAACATAAAGTTTTCGTATTTATGATTTCATTAAAAACGATTTCTCTTACCTATGTGCATATGTGGGTGTGCACAAGCGAGTGCAGGTGCTCAAGGAGGCCAGAGGCCTCCAGCACTGGAGTTAGGAGTGGCTGTTGGCTGTTGAATGGGAGTGCTAGGGACCAAGCGCAGGGCTTCTACAAGAACAGTAAGCGCCCGTAACTGCTGAGCCTCCTCTCCAGCCCCGTATTCATTATTTTTAACTGTTTAATAGTCTAGAAGCTGGTCAGATAGGTGGGTCAGTGTTGGTGAGAGCCCCAGTTGCATTCTTGGGAACAAGCAGAATATAAAAAGCATGCTCTCTTAATGCTTGATTTGCATGCAAACTCCTAAGGATACCATAGCCATTTCTCTTTCGCTACCGTAGATGGTAACGTAGTTCTTTCTGCCTATTAGCTAATGTTGCTAGCTGGTCTTTGGAGTCAAGGCAGAGAGATACAAATGGAGATGGTGGTGTTGTGTCAAGAATGTTTTTGTGCTGGAATATGAACTGTAACCACCAGTTCATATAAAATAGGCCTCAGAATAAAAGTATTCCCGGAATTTCAGAAATAAGAGAAGATAAAGGGCCTATTAGCTCATTAAGTGCATCTTTAGCGTCTAGTGCAGAGTGCCTTGAGCCTAAGTAATTTCTAAAATTTGGTGGAGTCTGTTTCACTTAAATTTCTTCTGTTTTGGTTGGCAGTTCTATAATCTAATAAGTAGACATTAAGATTGGTTTTATTTATTATTTAGGTTTTTCTTTGAAACCCCTCCTCCACCCCTTAACACACACATACATTGATTCTGTGATTTAGTGCAGTCTCTGGAGGAGATCCAGATGATAAGACTTTCGCCTGAGTTTCTGCTGAGTAGCTGTGCCCTAGCAAAGGCACTTTTTCTTTGGGACTTTGCCCCTCCCACCCACCCTCTTGCTTGCATGTTTGCCTGCCTGCTGCTTTCTTTGTCTTTTTCTGTCCCCCGCCCCCCTTGTTTTTGAGAATGGAGTCTCCCTATGTCTAAAATAGCCTGGAACTTGCTCTGTGTCTCAGGTTAGCCTTAAACTCACAAACATGCTGCCGCATCCTCCTGAGTGCTGGGATTGTAGGTGTGTACCACCACATCTCTCTGGCTCCTTGACACCAAATTTTTATTTCTCTGTCTATAAACTTTAATATAGTCTTTCTTGTATGTAGTGGAAATAAAGAGATGATCAAAATAGAGTTTCACAAATCACACAATTCATTGGCACACAAAGAAACCCCTCTGCTTAGGTTCGCAGTTCGGTTTTGTGTTTTGAGACAGGGTCTTGTGTATCCCAGACAGCCCTCAAACTTGCTACATGGCCAAGGATAACCCTGAACTCCTAATCCCCCTGCCTCAGTCTCCTGTGTCACCACACCTGGAAAGGTTTATAGTTCTTGAGGAGTGGGTAAGTAATATGAACAAACCTCAGAGGACTGTACTTAAAGTACAGCTGTGGTGCATCTTAACTACACAGTGAGTTCCTAAATTATTGAAGCTTAGTTGTTCAGTTAGTGGAGAAATAAAGCCTATGACCCAGGTGTGCATTACAGGAGTGATAACTTCACTTGATCCTCACAGTAGAGAGCTGTGAAGTCACGAGGGGACACATAGAGACCACCCCGAGTGACTGCTGACGCTCAGCCCCAGACAGAACATGTGTCATCCTCTCCAGCCTTCCAAGGCCCAGAACTTTGAAGAGAGGAAGTAGAAGGACTGTGGGAGCCACAGGATAGAGAGGAGTGCAGTGGGATGCTGTCCTCTGTAACAGGAATGCAGTAACTAAAGAATGTATTGCCACATGAAAACAGCATTAAGGGTTTTTTGTTTTGTTTCCTGTGGGGTGTATTTTTTTTTTTTTTTTTTTTTAGCACTTGATGCTGGAGGGCACTGCTAAATATTGGCAGGTGAAGCTACAAAGCTTTCAAAATGTCTGTCAAACTTAAATTTTTTGAAGGCAGTACTTCTAGTCAGCAACTTACTACAGGGTCTGGGAAGGTTTAATGTAACTTGCCTAAAAGAAGGGAGAGTTTTCAAGTGGATAGGTGTTGACTCCAGATTCCCATACGTAGGACTCTGATGATAATCTCAGTACTCGGGACGAGAAGGCAGAAAGGGCATGTGTCCGAGACCAACCTGAGCTATGTAGCAAGGCTGTGTCTCAGACATGCTGAAACAGCAAAGTACCTTACCCTCCAAGAGTGAATGGAGGAGCTTCATGAGCTGCGTCCTTGAGATGATGAACATCAGCTCTGCTGTGCCTTATAGACGTATCTGTCATGTGTGGCAGTGTTTGAGATCATCTTAAAACTGTGTAACAGATTATCCTCCAATCTGCACAAAATAGAACTCAATCCATGCTATTTTAAAAAATACTAAAGTGTGGTTGACACACTGGAATATAACTATGCTTATCATAAGATCCTTTTATTAGGAAAGGGACATTGACACATGGTCTGTAGTCATAGACTCTTCTTAGGCTTTAGTCAGTTTACCTAATCATTTGAATTATAGGATCATTCTACTATGAAGCTCAGTTAGTTCCCTGTAAAGCATTATTTCTGACTTACTCTTACCTATCATTTTCTTACTCTGAAGCCACTTCTTTGATGGTAGTAATAATCAAGAAAGGGAGCAATGTATATAAATCGTAAGAAGGGCCTGGAATGTTTGAATCATCTTACAGTGACCACACAGGGCAAAGTGGGTTCTGCCTAGTCATTCTGGACAAGATAAAAACAGCAGAAATACAAACTTAACTATTGATGCTTTACAATCCGTCATTTTCGCCTCTATGATTTCAGTGCTCATTCATCGTTTCTGAATGCCTTAGCCAGACTCTTCCATTGTCCATCTTTGGAATATCATTTAAAAAGGTTTCCCCCAGGCCTTGTGGCTTATCTAGAAAGATTTTAGGTATTATTGCAAAATACGGTTAGTATCTCAAAATGTACTGTGGTCTTACAGTATCAGTTTAGGATTTAAGCCATAAGTCCTGAACTGAATTGTTCTTTTCTATTTTAATCTTTGTCTATATTATTTGAGTGTCAAAATTCTTACATTATTTTCAAATACTGTTAGCTGGAGCCTGCATTCAAATTAGTAACTTAAAGCAAAACCTCCCCCTCTCCTGTGAATGATCTTCATCTGTGAGAAAAGTAACTTAGCCCCTCCATGTCATCTTCTTTTGTCATGTAAGGATTGCTGGCATTATGGTCCTAGATGACCTATATAGGTCACTTGCTGCTGTTATTTTATGAAGCTGTGCTTGCAGTAGGTAAATTATGAGAAGTACAAATGGAAAATGGCATAATATATCCCGCCGTGTGTATTGGTGCACATTGGCATAGTGTTCTCAATGTCCACGAAAACTTCTAATCGTGTGTGTTTGTGTTTTCGGTGTCATGTGCACAGTGTGATCCTGCTCAGGACGTTGTTGTCCTTCTCTTCTAAGTCACTCGTTTGACCCTGGCAACTGTGACCTCTGCTTTAGCTCCCTTGGCAGCAGGGGCTGCTCTTGGTACAAGTTACAGACATCCATTAAACACAGTGAAGTGTAAAGGGAAGTTGATTGTCCCACCAAGTGAAAGAAGAGCAGGACTCTAAGCGCTTAAGAATTCCAGGGACAGCAATAGGATGCTGCAGGGCTTTCCCCTTGTTCCCTGCGTTTTTTGGTTATCTGCTTTATTCTCGCTCAGCTCCTGCTTCACAAAAGTCTTCCTGTGGCTTAGCACAGTTACACTTTCTGTCTGTCTTACCAAAAGTCTTCCTGTGGCTTAGCACAGTTACACTTTCTGTCTGTCTTACCAAAAGTCTTCCTGTGGCTTAGCACAGTTACACTTACTGTCCATCTTACCAAAAGTCTTCCTGTAGCTTAGCACAGTTACACTTTCTGTCCATCTTACCAAAAGTCTTCCTGTAGCTTAGCACAGTTACACTTTCTGTCTGTCTTACCAAAAGTCTTCCTGTGGCTTAGCACAGTTACACTTACTGTCCATCTTACCAAAAGTCTTCCTGTAGCTTAGCACAGTTACACTTACTGTCCATCTTACCAAAAGTCTTCCTGTAGCTTAGCACAGTTACACTTTCTGTCTGTCTTACCAAAAGTCTTCCTGTGGCTTAGCACAGTTACACTTACTGTCCATCTTACCAAAAGTCTTCCTGTGGCTTAGCACAGTTACACTTTCTGTCCATCTTACCAAAAGTCTTCCTGTGGCTTAGCACAGTTACACTTACTGTCCATCTTACCAAAAGTCTTCCTGTAGCTTAGCACAGTTACACTTACTGTCCATCTTACCAAAAGTCTTCCTGTAGCTTAGCACAGTTACACTTACTGTCCATCTTACCAAAAGTCTTCCTGTGGCTGAGCACAGTTACACTTACTGTCTGTCTTACCAAAAGTCTTCCTGTGGCTTAGCACAGTTACACTTTCTGTCTGTCTTACCAAAAGTCTTCCTGTGGCTTAGCACAGTTACACTTACTGTCTGTCTTACCAAAAGTCTTCCTGTGGCTGAGCACAGTTACACTTACTGTCCATCTTACCAAAAGTCTTCCTGTGGCTTAGCACAGTTACACTTACTGTCTGTCTTACCAAAAGTCTTCCTGTGGCTGAGCACAGTTACACTTTCTGTCTGTCTTACCATAGTCTAAATAGAACATTTTGAGGAGAGCCAAGTTTTCATTCCTGTGGTAGCCTGTTCACCAGAAGTTGGGAAGGGCTGACCCAAGAACATGTGCTTAGAAATGATTAGGTGTTCTGGACAATCAAAGTAAGGGTGGACCCTACTTCCCCCTTTATGATATTGGAATAAAAGTGGTTTCCTATTGTTAATGGATCCTAAGTGGTATAAAATATTTTGGATCCTGTAAACTTTTATGCTAATAGACAGTGTTGTGTCATATTAGAGGGAGGCTTGAAGAACAGCACATGACTTAATGATCTGCACTGACTGAACAAGATAGGAAAATATGGTTAACTTTGCTGCACAAAGATAAAATCGTTCCTAAAGTTAAGTATCTAAGGGAAGAACAGTTCACGAAATACTTTGATTGGATGAGGACTGAAGATACCAAAACAAGCCTTTTATTTTCAAGGGAAAGTAACTATGAAGATGGAAAAATAATTATGAGAAGAAACTGAAATTTGCCAAGCCAGTAAATTCAGGGGTAAATTATTTTGGTTTGACAATTATTTAAAAAAACAAAAACAAACAAAAAAACGGAGCCATAGAGGTAACTCAGTGGTTAAGAGTGTGAACTGCTCTTAAAGAGTACTGGATTTTTATGTTAAGATAGGTCTCACTAAGTGACAAGACGTCCTTGAACTCAGTCTGTTGCCCAGATGGTCTTAGACTTTCTGAAAGGTACAAAAGTATCCTAAGCCTCAATTTCCTTAACAGTTCATAATGGGACATTAAAGCAAAACAAATAAATCGTATCTACCATAGAGACTTGCTAGGAGGACTAGGTGAGGTTATATGAAATCCTTGCCTGATTTCTTAGTAAAAGTAACTGTTCAATTGGATTTTTCTACAGTACGGGCAGGGGTGGGGGGGGGGGTCGAGAAATAGTACAACAGGTTTAGGGGATTGGCCTACAGCACATTTGTCTTTAATAGATAAGAAAGTTTCTTGACCTTTGTTTCTCTTAGCAGTTGTTTATTTCAAGGCTACTCCATGCCAGTTATCATATCTGTCACTAGAAAATACAAATTAAAATAGAATTGGTTATCACTTTCAAAAATCCTGAATTCAAAAGTCAGATTTTAGGGGTCAGAGAGATAGCTCGGCAGTTGAGAGCACTCGATGTGTTTGCAGAAGATCCAGGTTGGGTTTCAGCCTCCACATGGCAATTACAAAACTGTAACTCCAGTTTCAGGACATACATTCCCTTCTTCTGGCTACTTCTGGCACTGCATGCATGTGGTGCCCATACTTTCATGCAGACTAACACTCAAAACAAAATTACAAACATATAAATCTTTTTTAAAGTCAGCTTTTATAAATAAAAAGTAATTCAAAGAGGGAGGGGGTGTTTTTATGATGTGGTTAATGTCTTAAAATACTAAGTTTCTCTCTAAGAAAAGATTTTCTGGTGTGCTACAGTGTCTTGTGCTAGTTAAGGTGGAAACATGTAGAACCAGTTTTCAAGATATGAATAGCTCCAGTTGGCTGTACACATGAGGGGTCCATTCAGAGAGCATGCTGCAGAGATGAGGCTCCCAAGACTTCTAAGAAGTAGAAGCAGTGCTTGGTGTGTTGTAGGTACTGCTCTTACCTCCACTAAAGTATTTGTATAGTTACTAGCATGCGCTTAGACTCAGCCAAGCCAGTCTTCACTGAATGACCTTAGAGTTCTTTGTCAGTTTTGCTGGTATTTGGAAAAGCAAGATAACACAAGTGTTTCCAGCAATTTCCCATTAATATACTAGTACACATCAATATATTTTGAAATTGAAAAAAAACTGTACATAATTACATAGTCTTGTGCCTGATGCACTATGTGGACTTTACCTGATAAATGGGTATTTTTGACATAATTAATATTTTGCTTCTAAATGTCGATTGGTTACCAAAACCAATGAAAAACCTAAATTTTATTCCATTATAAGTTGGGTTTTATGTTATAACTGATACACTCCTACTAAACTCAGGATCTGTACCAATCCAAGTCACAACAAAAACGTCTATTAGGACTTGTTTCTTTGTCTTTGTCATTGTTGTTTTTTGGTTTTTTTTTTTTTTTGTGTGTGTGTGTGTGTGTGTGTGTGTCTGTCTGTCTGTCTGTGTGTCTTGTGTGTGTGTGTTACTAATATGTGTATGAATGCATATAGAGGCCAGAAGTGGACATTGGGTGTCTTCACCGGTTGTGCTCTACCTTATTTTTTGAGACAGAGTCTCTCACTGAAGCCACAGCTCACTGATTAGCTTGACTGGCTGGTCAGCAAGCCCCAAAGATCTTACCTTTACTTCTCCAGTGCTAGAACTCCTGTCCTGTGCTGCTGCACTCAGCTTTTGCATTGGTGCAGGAGGTTGAACTTAGACACCCCTGCTTACGCAACAGATCTGTCACGTGACTGAGCCATCACCCTATCCCTTATAATTTTATACTCAGTGAAGTGAGCTGGTGCTGAGATCAAGCCTCTTCTGCTGAGGATTCTTGATGGTGAAATGTTTTTGTTAGTTAACAATGAAGGCACTTCATTTGTATCCTTTTCTTTCCCCCCTCCCCCCAGTTTGCTGGAAACCATGTCTCACTATACAGATGAACCCAGATTTACCATAGAACAGATAGATCTGCTCCAACGTCTTCGGCGTACTGGGATGACCAAACATGAAATTCTCCATGCATTAGAAACTTTGGACCGTCTTGATCAAGAGCATAGTGATAAGTTTGGAAGGAGGTCCAGCTACGGGGGAAGCTCATATGGGAACAGTACCAACAATGTTCCAGCATCTTCCTCTACAGCCACAGCTTCCACGCAGACCCAGCACTCCGGAATGTCCCCATCACCCAGCAACAGTTATGATACCTCCCCACAGCCTTGCACTACCAATCAAAACGGGAGAGAAAACAACGATCGATTGTCCACATCCAATGGGAAGATGTCGCCATCTCGATACCATGCAAACAGCATGGGTCAGAGGTCATATAGCTTTGAAGCCTCAGAAGAGGACCTAGATGTAGATGATAAAGTGGAGGAATTAATGAGGTTAGTTACTTTGCCTATTCTGAATTCCCCCCAAACATCTATGTTTTTAAGATTGTTTTTTAAATAATAGTCTGTATTTCAGAAACTTACCAATAAGAACAATGGTTTCTCCCTCCCTTCTTTGGAATTGAAAGTAAAACTTGAAACTGTGGTTTTAGATCAGATTTTTTTTCTTCTCTACTTCAGCTCTTTCGCTGTGTGATGAGGCTTTTCTAGTCTCTTGATTTGTCAAAGGGCTTTCTCTATTTATGGCTTTAGCAGACAGTTTCTGACTGACAGAGTTCATTTAATTCAATCCTTAATCCTTCATTGTAAATATTTTTTCTGAGTGATAAGATAAATTTACCATGATGTAGAATACATACACTTTTCAATTTTCCTTGCATCATTTTAATCAGTGCAACAGTTTGAACAACTATTGGGTTAGAAGCAATTTTCAATAAGAAACATAGATACCATCCTGCCCCTAAAAAGCTGAAGTTCTAATTTTAGCAGTAGGTGCAACACCCACATGCACTCCATACCTCAACAGTTGCCAAGTAAGCATGTGCACTTAGAGTTTAAACACAAAGAAAAGCCTCCTTTTAACCAAGGTAATGAGGACTTTGTAGCAGACCTGGTTCACTTTGAGGGTAACAGACATGTGTTTTCCATCCTGTGTCCAGAACTAGGAACTTCCTTTAACACATGGTGTGGGCTCAGGATGTTAGCTGAGTAGATAAATTTGGCCTATCCCATAAGGATATTCTCTTTTGAAAGAAGAATTTGGAGCTGGTTCAGGGGATAAAGGTGTTTGCTGCCAAGCCAGAGGACATGAGCTCCATCCCTGGAGCCCACACAGTGGAAGGAAAGGTCCAGCTCCCCAAAGTTGTCCTCTCACTACAAGCATGCCATGCAGAGGTACTCCTGCACACATGTACATACACATATAGTCAGTAAGTGAATAACTTTTATTTCTTTAAAATAAAAATTAAGATACACATTTTATTTAAAGTTAGGGAACCAGGAAACGGTATCAAAAAAGGCATGTCTTTAATCTGGTTAAGAATATAAGCTGGGTGTGGTCACTTATGCCTGTAACCCCATCGTTTAGAGGGCTGAGGCAGGAAGATTGTTGTGAGTTCAAGGCCAGCATGGTAACCTCTAGGCTTGTCTGGCCTACAGGCTGTGTATCTTTCCAAAAAGCATCAAAAGAAAAACAATACAGATGAGGCGGACTTTGGCAAACCTAGTAATACCTTAGGTGCAGCACACGGTTTCGAAGGCTTCACATTCTACACTGTATGTTAGAATCTGAGAATTTTTACAGATCTTTACAAGCAGAAATGACAGAAGCATCGTTTTCAGTAGAGTTAAGCCATTGTGTAAAAATGATTGCTTTGGGCTGGAGAGATGGACTCATTAGTTCAGAGCACTTGTTCTTGCAGAGAACCTGAGTTTGGTTCCCAGCACCGACTTGGTAGTTCACAACCATCCATAACTCTCATTCTAGGAGATTTGAAACCCCCTTCTCACCTCTGCAGGCCCCAGACATACATGTGGTACACATACATGTACAAGCAAAACACTCACGCACAGAAAATAACCAAAATTTTTTAAAAAGGTGAGAGGCTGCAGATAAATTAGTTACAGTTGATAATGAACAGAATTGTAGACTTATTGGAAGTTAAAAAAAAAAAAGTTGTAACTGAGTTTTAACTGGTCCTGAAGATTTTCTGACATCAAGACAGAATGACAATGGCTTGACAGTGCTGTGTGAAGACCCATCCTGTAACACCTCTGTGAGAAGACAGCCTTAAACACACAGCCTCTTGTGAGTTTGTTTTCAGGGTAGAGTTTCCACACATGGAATCCTTGGCTGCAGGGACTATGGGGTACACGTAATGAAGAGTATCATGCCTCAACCACAGTCAGTGTTGTCAAGCTTTTAGCTCTCTTGCCTCAACCACAGTCAGTGTTGTCAAGCTTTTAGCTCTCTGAACGAAATACAAGAGATCAGCAAGGCTTGTGGCTCGTCAGTTATTAACACAGTGTCCAAAGCTCTGCTGTTGCTGGGGACTTTCTTAGTGCTGAAGCTTGAACCCGGGCTTTATCTTTCACTGAGTCACAGCCTTGGCCGTAGGTGGTTTTGGAAACCTAGCATCTATCATCGTTCAGTTTAAAAAGGAGAACCATTTGGGCAAATAAGTTACTTTATTTGTTGAAGTTTCGTGAGATTTTAGTTACCCTGAGTAGAGAAGATAGCAAAATAGCATTTATTTGTTGAGGTGCTGGCTTGCTTGGTTGTGCACACTCACGTAGGTGCAGTCTCACCGGTGTAGTGTGTGTGCTCTTCATTGTTGTGTAGTTATTAGGACACTTTCTTCTTCCCTTCCCCTGCTTCTTGCCTAGAACAGCTCCTTGACATTTAGTCAGAGTCCTCTAGACCTCTGGTACCCCTGGTCCTTCCCAATTGAGCTTTCTTCCACTCCAGCTTTGCTCAAAGGTGCCCCTTCTCACCGTTTTCAAGTTTGCAGAGGGTAACCCTTCTTAGGACCCAGGGGGAAGTTGATTGAATGGTGCTCACAGGACATGTGCAGTCCCAACACCCATGCTGGGTACTTGATCAGAGAAGCTGAGTTCGTGAAAATTAATAATTTGCTCAAGAAAGTTGATTATTGGGCAACTGAGCCTAATTATATCCCATGGCTTTATTAACATTGTCTTGTAGGTATATTTTTTATCACTGACATTATTTATGCTTATAGGTTAAATAAAGCTTTAGAAAAGGTAATACATAAAATTCTTCAAAACAGTGTGAATTGCCTTACTGGGCTTGCTCTCCTCCTTCCCTGACATGATATCTGCTACTTCCAATCAGTCGCTTACTAAACAATGAATTTTTATTGGTGAGATATTAGAGAATTTTTCAAACAGTAACTCTTTCTGAGTATTCTGTGTCTGTCTAGTGATATACTGTCCTTGCTGCTTACTCAATACTGGTAATTGGTGGGCTCTAGTAGGAAGCATGGATACCTGAGGGCCTTCCTGCCTCCTGTGCTATGTGTAAAACCCTCCTCCTACTTGCCCACAGCCCCAACCTGCAGGTACCTCACCCTAAGACGTGCTTTGCAGATTTTATAATTCAGTGAATCTATATTACAGTATATAATTGGAAGGTATATAATGGAGATGTGTGTGTGTGTGTGTGTGTGTGTGTGTGTGTGTGTGTGTGTGTGTAACTTCATCAGATTATAACTGTACTCTTGATCATTTGTTAAAGAGTCAGAAATTATCTTTTCTAGTTTTGAATTGGGGTCAAAAAAAGGAAGAAGAAAGCCACACTAACATAAATTCTCAGTAAATGGTTGAATGTACCACTTTAGGAAGGACTGAAAGCCAGCTCATTTTACATTAGGACATCTTAAAAGGCCTATTAGTACGTAAGTATGCATAGGAATGTGTGTCTGCATCTGCTAATACATTAGAATATAGCAGTGTTTTTCTGCAGTCATGTGTGTATTATGAGATAATGTAAATGAGGCTTATTGGAATTAGTAATGCTGTACGTTAAGCACGTTGCTCTATACCACCCAGACACGACATTTTGTTAGTATTTTGTACAAAATTCTGCAAGTTCATTCCAAGTTGGTTATATATATGCCTGACACTAAAACATAGGTCGAGCATCTTTGAGCCATGGTGTTTTAAAATTAAAAACTTCTGAGCATTCTGTATCACAAGTGAAAAATTCCATAATACAACATATTCCTAGGCACAGAGTTATTTAAAATACTGTCCCAAGTTACATTTAGTCTCTCTATATAATTATGTAAAACAATTGAATTTTGTGTTTACTTGATTTCTGCCCCTAAAATATTTCATTATAAATATGAAAATAGTCCCTTTTTTTAAAAGAAAATCTGAAAAGGCTTTTGGTCCGATAACCTCAGTGGGGGCTCTCAGCCTGTATTACTTGTGCAGGCAGGATGTTTATGCTCTTCTATAAGAACGTAACAGCACTAAGTGGTGGTGCGCTCTCCTTCCGTCTTCTGCATATAGAGCATCTCTCTCTTTAATACTCTCTCTTAAAACTGTGCTCTGTATCTGCACAGGGAGAAGGTCATGAGTGTCTTTCAACTGTGAAATACACTGTGATGGCTTCATCTTGGGGTGACTTTGAGCTAGCTCCCTTTACAACATGCAGAGAAATGCTGAGGGTGTGTTAACTCAGGAGTATGAGTCATCTTAAAGTGTATCATTATAAAATATGAGCCCTTAATATGCTTTCTTCCAGAAAACAAATCAGTGTCATTTTGAATCACCATAAATAATCTCTTCACCCTGATGTGGAAAACATAAATGTACTCAAAAATAAGAATTTAAAGCTGTTATATAAATTATTTAGATCAGATTTTCCATTTTACAGCCTTTAATTTCTAGAAATTTTTCACTCATTAAACAAATTAAGTTTTATTATATGAAAAATCCATGCTGAATATGACAGAATCTTTGTACTAAAGACCTTTCCGGGCTAGTAGGCTGGATGGGCTATAAAGCGTTGTGTCCACCATACTACAGTTGAAATGTTAAGAGTTAGCTTTGTTAAAAGAGATCTTTCTTAGTAAGCTGTGATAATCAGAGAGAACTCTCTACATAGATGACAATTACTTCGTGTCTTTTGAAAAGGTAATCAGAAAGCCAGGTGTGGTGGTACTCCTCTGGAATCTGAGTACTTGGGAGGTGGAGGCGGGAGGCTTGCTGTGAGTTTAAAACAGCTATGTAGCAAGACCAGGCTCAAAACAAAACAAAAAGCAAGGAGCATTAGAGTCAGGACAGGGTGGTGGTGCCACTTAGATCCCAGCACTCCAGAGACAGAGGCAGGAAAACCTCTGGTTCAAAGTGATCCTGGGTTATGCAAGACCGCTGCCTCATGGTCCTATTCTCATATACATACATACGTGAAGTTTTTAACAGTGGTTTGTCAAAAAGGCATTCCTGATGAGTTCTTTCATATGTATTAGGAAGGGTAATAGTGGAGAGTTGAACTAGCTTAACAAACAGGGCAGTGGGAAGTGATGGTTAGGAAGGGAGCGCTCCATCCTGCTGTAGAAGTCCACCAGATGAACACAGTGGCAGCGATTTGAAACAGCAGGAAGAAGTGGCATGCGCTTCAAGTGCCTCAGTTGAGATCAAGGGGTTGCTTATGTTGGAAGTTAAGAGTGAAACCAGAGAAATAATTGCCTTGCTCTTTATTGTAATTCACTAAGACGTAAGGAGTCTTGAGGCATGTGAGATACTATGGTGGAGTGGCAGAAGAGACTCACTCTCTTTAGGTAAGATGTCAAATTTTCAACAAAGGGAGGAATAGGGAATAGAAGACAGAGAGGGACGAAGACAAAGAGCCAAGCAGCCCCGTAGAATAAATTGGACGGTGAAGGCGAGTGATGGTACTGTTTTCGCAACCCAGCGAGCCCAAGCAAACCGGCACTCTCCTACTGTGACTTCAGAGCACTGTGTCCATGGTCTAAGACGTGAACTTCAGTCTAACAGTTACAGTTGATCATTTGTTTCCTCTTTCCTTTGGATCCTGTCTGACGGTTTCATAGAAATAACTGTGTGTTTATATGATACATTTACAATTGCAAAACTTTCTCCTTCAAAGAAAATTTCTTTTGCACATATTATTTGCATGCATATGTATGTATTTATATCATTCAGTTTTTTACTTTATTACCTGGAGGAACATTTTAAAGACCTTTTTTTGTCAATGCTGGAGATTTTACACATGGTCTTGTACATGCTAGGGAAGCATACTGCCACAAGCTATTTCTTAAAACCCTTTGAATTTGGGGATAAGAGGGGGCCAACAGGAATGGAGAGGAGGAGAGGGAGGGACCAACAAGAGTAGAGAAGGGGAACAGGAAAGGACCAGCAGGAGTTGAGAAGGGGAGAGAGAGGAGATCAGAGAGAGTAGAGAGAGAATGGGAGAGAGGTCATGGCAGCCAGGTGACTGGATCAAAGTGCATTGTACACATGTGGGAAAATGCCATAGTGAGACTCATTATTTTGCACAGCTAATGCACACTAATTATAGAAATGAAAACCTTTGGAAGGAGTGTGTTAATGTTCTTGTTTTAACAAATGATGAAGCCAGAGCACAGTTTTATTAAGTGGCTTTCCCTCACATGTTTTTGTCTTTTAAGGAGTGGAGGGGCTGGAGAGTGAGACCAGAAGAGTCTTAGGATGCCGGCCAGGCATTTAGGCTTTTAGCCACATCCCAGTCTTTTTTTTAAATTGTTTTTCAAAAAGTGTCTATGGTAAAGCAGTAAGGAATGTGTGCTTAAACTTATTGTGGATACTTTAGAGACCTGCATAATATATGAGTGTGTTCTTGGCGGTGGTGAGTGGGGTGCTGCTTTCTAAGCACTGGGGACCCCTCCTGGCCTTTAATAATGCCATACTGCAAGGCTGTGAGTAATTCACATACTGGTTACGTAGTTGAGTGTTATCTGTTCTGTATGATTTAGTGTCTGCTGTAGGTGCATTTGATTTCAAATGAGTTGGTGTGAATTTGATTGTAAATTATTAGTCAAGAAAATACCATTGGCTCATTTTGCCTACAAAAGTACATTTTAAAATTTAATCTGAACAATTATTCTCAAATATAGTTTCTTTTTCCAAGATAATTTGGTATGTTGAAATGCAATAGTTTATATAAAATTTTCAACTTAATTTTGTAGTTATGTCAGAAAACAAATGATGAGGTTTGTATACAAAAGCCATCTGAAATAGTTACTGCTAAAGTTGCCTCCCGCTACAGAGACAGGCATTTTGAGAGAAACGTAGTCAACATGTAGATTGGAGTCTAAATAAAATTGTGAAATTTTAAATATTACATTAGGCAGCTAAAGTTTTATTTTCTTACTGCTTGATTAGAATTTCTATCAATAACTCAGGGATATTGTAGAGCTACATATTAGGTACTCACTATCCCATCTCTACTCTTTTCCAAAATTCCCCACAGCAGGGACGTGGCCCAGACAGGGCTGAGCCTGCTGCACAGGAATGAGGAACTAAGTTCACTTCTTCAGCACCCACATAAAAAGTCAGGCACTGGTGGTATGTGCCTTTGGCCCTGAGGGGATCCCTGCAGCTCATTGCCAGCCAGTCAAGCAAACTAGTGAACTCTGGGCTCAGAGACAAACAGGGACTCACACATGTACACAGGCTACGTGCACAGGTACAGCTCCACAGGCAGCATGGCACCCCCCAGCAGAGTGCAGAACCCTTCCAGGTGAGGGGGCTGAAAGACCTGTCGAAATTAAATCGCAGGCTAGTACCATGTTCTTATAGGATTCTTTTGTTTCTTCTCCAGTCTCTAGTGAGACTTGAGCCCCTATGAAATTCATGGTTCGTTCTCAAAACAGGTTTTAAAGGTTTGTGATGCTTTTGTCTTAGATCAAGGGTCAAAGGTTTTACTGTGAATAGCTAGTGGTTAACGTTTTTTAGACTTTGCCAAGAGGCAAAATTGAGGGTGTAATAGAGACACTGTACAAGAGAGAAAACTGGGAATGGCAGCACACAGCTACAATCCCAGCACTCAGGAAGCTGAGACTAGGTGATCAGTAAACTCAAGGCCAGCGTGGACTAATAGACTGTGTTTCAGAAAACTAAAAATGAGAGAGAGAGAAAGAGAAAAATGGCCACAGCTTTTCTTGACAAAAATCCAACATGGAACTTGTAATCTTAGCACGAAGAGACTGAGATGGGAGGATTGCCTCAAGTTTAAGCACCACCTGGACCAAATAGTTTCAGGCTAGCCTAGCAAGTGAGTCCCAGTCAGGCAGTGGTGCATGCATTTAATCCCAGCACTCAGGAGGCAGAGGCAGGAAGGTAGTTAAAGCTAGCCTGGTCTATAGAGCAAGTTCAGGACAGCCATGGTTACACTGAGAAAGTCTGTCTCAGTAAAGGCGGTGGGGGGGGGGGGGGAGAAAAGATTGAATCCTTATCTCAAAAACTGAAAAAAATTATAGAATTGAAATAATTGTATACAGTTGGGAGGGTTATACAGTATTTGTAAAAATAAAGGAAGTATGCTTTTTAAAAAAATTATTTGCAATGGTCCATCTGAGAAAGATTATGTTTGTGGCTTATATGAGAGCAGATGGCAGATTGACTTCAGCGGAGACCCTTAATCTGTTGACCTTGTTTAGATAATAAGCTACCATGATTCTATGTCAGTTTTCATCTTGAACAAGAAATAGTGTTCTAGTTTTATAGTCTTACAGCTCTGGTTTAATTTTTATTTATTGTTTGTTTTGGTGAAAGAATGAGTTGTTCTTTGTCATACTTACGGATGTCTGGTCTATGATGGTGTGATGAATTTTTAAATAAAGTTTGTAATGGGCCAAGAGTATATAATACCAAGGTTGAATAATATAGTTTTTAGTATTAACTCTTCTATATACTTATTATATGTAATTGGAAATTAATAAATACTTTTAATATGAAACTGTTAATATTTCAAACCATCCCACATTCTTTTGGGGGGGGCGCTTATACAGAAGGGAGGGAGAGGAAGCAGCTGAGAGTATTTCTTACAATGCTAATTATTTCAGTTGTGAGAATGGTGTTGATTTCTGCCCCAGAAGCATTTCCAAGGTTTTAAGATGAGTGTCCCGTCTACAGCTCCTCCATTAACCTGCAAACCCACAATCTACTTACAGCTGATTTTCATTGCTGGTGCTTTTTATTTTTCCAGGGCTTCTGTGTACGATTTATTCCCCAATAATGAGAACACACATACCGCATATGGCAGCCTTGTTCCTAATTTAAATTATATAAATTATACACAGCATGCAATTAATGGTCCTCCTACATGAGACTTGTATCCACAGTGGCATTCACTGAGGTGTCTGTCTGATGGTGTGACGTTTCAGGACTGGAGTATTTGGTGTTTCCTGGTTTGTTGTAATTTCATATTTTCACCCAAGTTTAGTCTGTTTCCCTTTTATTTTTTGTGTCCTTCCTTTCTGTGTTCTCCCCACCTCTCGGCTTCACCTTTCTTTTAGCAAAGATGAGGATTTCTACCTTCAACATACATTGTTGGTCTTGTCTTCTGTTTTTGTTAGGAGGGACAGCAGTGTGATAAAAGAGGAAATCAAAGCCTTTCTTGCCAATCGGAGGATTTCCCAAGCAGTTGTTGCACAGGTAACAGGTAAGAGCCGGAGAGCCCTTTATTCTAGAATCATGTCTCGTCTCTGCCATCTGTGCAGGTGTTGGGATATTGCTTACATTTCCATGCTGCAGCCCTGTCAGCTTGGGCATGGTGACGGAAGCCTGGGTTTTAAACCAGTGCCTCTGTTACTGGGACATGCTCCACTGATCTTTTTTAAACTTGTGGTAGTAAATTTTGTAATGTTAGTAATAAGAAAAAAAATCCCTGTTTTGTAATTGAAAGGGAGATGTCGTTTCCTTTTGATTATGATAGCGCCTGTGAGACATGCACATCAGCTGCTGTCTGTTTGCAGTCCTCTAAATCAAACCCAGGACTTCACCCATAAAAAGTGACTCGTGAGGAAAAAGCAAGTTGTGGGAGTCTTTGTTTTCCTTTTTTATTTTGGGGGTTTGTTGTTGTTGGGGCTTTGGTTTTGTTGTTGTTTGTTGTTTTTTGTTTTTTCTTGAGACAGGGTGGCATGCAGTTGAGGCTGGCCTCAAACTCACTCCATGGCTGATAATGACCTTGACCTCCTGATCCTTTTGCAGCCACCTCCCAAGCACTGGGATATATGCACCACCATCCCCTACTGAAAGTTCTCTTTTGAATGACCTTCTCTGTATGTGCAAGCTTTGCTCACCCCCTCCTGAGAAGATGAGGATCAGCATTGTCTTTTTGTTGTTGTTCTGTATATACCATCCCATTCTCCACCCAACCCAGACATCACTCTGATATGTGGTATATATGTGTCATTCTCTATCCAGAACACATTTTTAAAATGGAACTATTGAATCAGGGGGTAGGTGTGTCATCACTGTTGGTGTGTGTTCTTCCTTAGTTCTAGAGATCGTAGAGGAACCAGAAATTCTTCCTGTATGTTTACGTTTGCTGTGTTGTTATACTTTCTGCACTGACAGTTACAATAATTACCACCACCACCACCCCTTTTAGCACACAGCTGCAAACTTATGCCTTGGGGCTTCTCAGGCCCCTGTCTCAGTTTTCATACTTTGTGGTTTCAGGTTGGCATCTGAGCTCCTCCAGCTCTGATGTTCCTTCTGTGGTGGAAATGCTGGTACATACTGAATCTAATGTTCTTAAGAGGTTGCTCCTGATCATTAATTGGATTAAAAATGTAACTTCAGAGCTAAAAGTATTAAATTCCATTCCCTATACCTAATGTCAGCCAACCCTTTATGATATGTATGCATACATGCAGGTGTATATATTTTATCAATAATATACTTTTATAAACAATGTCTTTGTTACTGGTAAAAGACTTTTGAATGTTTCTGTCTATGTAGAAGTCTTAATGGCAAAGAAAGGTGTGTGGATTTAATTATTTAACTTTTAAGGTATTTGCCAGTAGGATGTGTAAGATAAATTAATAATCCTTATCTTTAAAAAACTGAGTTATAGCGTTTAACACACTATAAGGGCAAATTGTGCAGGTGTTACTGAAACTCATGATGTGGTAGATTATGCCGTGATTGGATGTTTTCTTTTTGTGCCTTTACTACTTTAGCCTCCAGGACTATAAGCAATATATGTTCTGGTTTGCAAACCTGGGCGGGGTGGGGGGACAGACAAATTTGTAACATGATATAATTGCAAGGTTGATTTTGTTCAGAAGAGAATATTTCTGAGTATTGAATATATTGAGTCTTGAATCATCTTATACATGTGTGCGTGTGTGCTAGGGTGTGTGTGTGTGCATGTGCATGTGTGACTTGAGACAGCTTGAGGAACTCAGTTCTCTCCTACTATGTGAATCCTGGGATCAAACTCACTTTGTCAGGCTTTATGACAAATTCCCTTACTTCCTGAGCCAGTCCTTGTCTTCGATTTGTAAAATAGTAGTTTTGGATGAGTGTCCAGCATTGTTACAAATTATAGACAGATACCCTTAAAGGCCTTTCTTATGCCAGACATGAGCATTGTACTATAATGAGTTCAACACAGTATATAAAATATTTTCATTAATACAGTCCAGGAAACAGCAGTATTGGTGTTAGCTGAAAACTTGTTAGACATGTAGGAATACACAATATCACCTCTAAATTAACCAAAATAGAATTTACATTTCAGCCAGATCCCCTGAGTGATTTAGGTTGGAGAAGGACTGTTCTAGGAAACTGGTAAACTTTCCAAACAGTAATAATACCAGTTGGTAGTCATTGATTATCATTGCCTCACTCAATAATACCACCTCCCATTTAGAAAAGGAAGTGGTTAAAAAAAAAAAAAAAGAAAAAGAAAAGAAAAGGAAGAGCTGAGATACACTTAGACATTTGTACCTGTTGTACACATGGCCTTCCTTTCACCACCGTAATGATGGGATATTATTAAAAATGTCTTCCCCATTTCAGCTTTACCTCAAAGAGGTTTTCCTCTTGGTTTCTGTTCCAAAGGATTAAGTTTATGTTTCTGTGAACCTGCCTTTGGCCCTTCATTGTCTAAAACAAGAAATTAAAAAAAAACAAAAAACAAAAACCATTCATATTTTGTGTGTTCTTGCATGCCTGTCACAGTGTATGTGTTGGGGTGAGAGTTTCTTTTTCCTTCTGCCATGTGTGTTCCAGGGATTGAACTCAGGTCATAGGCCTTGGTAGCAAGCACCTTTATTCACTGAGCCATCCTGGAAATTCTTATAATGCAATCCCCACATCCATTTTTATTGCTATCTTCTATTATGTATATTCACACAGCTGAATTTAACTACTGGTAGTTTTGAGAGTCCTGCTCATTTGCATGCTCCCAAATTCTTGGTTTACCAGGAGGCCCTTTCCTCCTCAGCATAGCTCTATCCATTCCTACTAACCACAGCTCATTCTGTTAGGGTGCCATTCTGGCATTCACATAGTGAATATCATTAGATTTAATCCTCACTTGAGGGATGCAGTTTCTTCAGAGAGTCTCTCACTATCCTCTTGGAATATTTCACACCCACCTTGCTGGTTGAGGCATAAAGGAGCCAGCTGGTTGTGTTTAGCTCAAACCACCGTCAAAAGGTACACTGAGGCACTGTTTCCGGGATGATTGCTTGTTCAACAATACCGTACATTTTTATGTGTAAGAAAGTTGTAGGTTTTTTAGTTTAGTTTTGTTTTAATCTACAAAGCAGGAGAATGAGAAAATTAATAAGCAGGCTAATTTACTTTTTATCTATTGACTAACTCACTGAGTTGTATTTCTCATGTTATTATGAATTAATCACATTTGTGTCCCAGCCTGTCCAGCCAGGAAGCTAACAGAAACAGCACTTCTCATGTCTGGGAAGAACAATGGGTTAGTAAAGCCCTCATGATTGACCCATTTAGGGCAGGGTGAGCCTGGTTAGGAAGCCTTTCCATCCCTGATATCTGGCCATTACCTAGACATGCTTTTCTGTCGTTCTAGAGCAGATTCTCGGAAAGTCATTTGAGTTCAACTCTAATATGTGAAATCAACCTTAAGATAAAAATCAGAGCGGATGGTGCCTAACAACAGAAAATGCTAAATAAAAAAGTGTAGCAAGGTGCAAAATTCCAACACATGTGCTGTTCCAGAAGCAAATGCAGAGGCTGCTTTTTATAGATTTGGAGGGCTTCTATAATAAGATAAACAAGAAGTGCAGGGGTGGGGTCTGTATAAACAATATCCTGCTGATGGGAGAGATGACAGTGTAAACAGGATATAATAACAGTGCCTGCCGAATTCCCAGCATGCTATTTGTAGATTCCATCCCAGTCGCAGCAGCTGCTCCCCCCATGGGTGGATTTTTACCTCTGCGAGAGGCTGGCCAAGATTCTAGCTTCTCACTACAGTGATAGGGTGGTGAGCATAGCCTTGGCTCTAGTAACAAACACATGAATTTCATATTCACTGTCAGTAAAATGTTTCCTTAGGCATTTAAGAATTCCGAAAACAAACAAAAATTGTAATGACCTCTGGGAAAAATTGGGCACACACAGAATAAATGAGTAAATATACAAAGGTTGATGCATGTTATCAGTTGAAGAAATATACTAATTGGTGTCATGTCTTCTGGGGAAAAAATGAATACATGAGAGAAGAAAAGAGTTAGCATCTCTGAATTTTATGAATTTTATTACAATTGTGTTGATTTGTTGGGGTAAGCTGATTCTGAGTTTGTTCTTTCTGTCAATCATCTTGTGACCCACAGCCTTATTTTCCTTACTTACAGGATGTGGGACTTTGACCAAATAATTGTTCTCTTAGCCTTTGTAACAAAATGTCATAAACTGGGTAGTATACAAACACAGAAATGTATTTCTCATAGTTCTGGGGACCAGAAAACCCTGAGCTAAGGCAGGTTCAATACTTGGGGACTGCCTGCTTTTCTGGCTCATATACTACTCCTTCTTACTGATTCTTCTCATGGTGGAAGGGGTGAAGGTGCTAATCCTGTTCATGAAGGTCTGCCCACGTGACTTAGTCAGCTCCCTTAAAGGCCCCCACATGTGAGCATCATCACCTTAAAGGCGAAGATCTCAATAGAAGGCTTGGGGTGGGTATAGAGAGCCACACTATAGCAACTCCACTTTTCCCCCTAGTTGTCCGGTTCTAGTCTGCTTTTAACTACATTTGACACTTGGATCTACTTGGATCTAGCAATTGCACTCCCAGCTATATTCAAACCACTTCCCTTGTTATTTATCTCTAAAATGAAGAATGAAAATATTATATATGTGTCAACTCTTTTGTAGTTGCAAAAAAAAACTGTACTGCTCTTTTTCTTAATCATAGAACTTTAGACTGGGTGTTATAAACCAACTAAGATATCAGTTTATATTTTTAAAACTAAACTTTATTCTCTAGAGCAGTTTTTAGTTCACAGCAATATTGAACATAATGTTGAGAGACTTCCAAAATACCTTCTGGTCCACCATGCGTACCCAGTCTCCTCCACTGTCACTGCCCACAGTGGCCCATTGATTGTGGTCAGTGAACCTATGTTGATGTGCCGTATGCTAGGAACTAGCACCCCTAGATGTAGC